ATTTAGTTTGCTGCCTCTTTTCAGTAGAGCACCTAATCTACCCCTGCTCTCAGTCAGCTGGGCCTATCCGATTTGGTCTTTTCAAGACGTCTCTGCTCTCCTGGCCAGGCTATGAGAGGGTAGTTGCTCCTACAGGAGGAGGACTTTTGGAGGCCTATCTGCTCTTTATAAAAATTTGCAACAGTCTTCCTATTTTTCTGGCCTACTCTACAACCCCATCTTCAGAGGGACCTGGTACCTTACAATAGGTCTATAACAGCTGGCTTGCTTCTTATTAGCTTTACCCACTGAAGGATAAGATTTCAGTGTTCTCAGGTCTAAAGTAGCTATCCTCATCCTTCTGCTTTCAAGGTTGCAAAATATTGACATCTCATGCCTATCATCACCTTTTCTGTTCTATTTTTCTTTGTGAATTTCTGTCCTTTTTATTCCTTATTACAATTATAGTGGTATTTTAGAAGGGAATATATATTTAATCCAACATATTTAACTAGAAGTCATGTAGCATTTTAATAAGATTCTTGGCTCTTAAAATTTAAGACAACAAGGAATAGTAAATACTGCACTATACTTTATTATTATATTTACTTATATACGAGAGTTTCACTTTAGCATCTCCACAAGCAACATCAACACTGAACCTCCATTAGAGAAATGTCACAATGCCTTATAAAAAGCCCCTGCAAGGGCCAATCATGTGGCTATGCACTGAAATTCACCAGCAATGAGAAGATAAGCTGTGCAGTTGCACAGTAAAGAAATCGTCTTCTTAGATGACTATCCTAACAAGCTTTGAAGTAAATGATTCCCAGTACATTGATTTACATCCACAAACCATAATGTTCACCAACTGCTAATTTTTCAATCATTTTCCCTTCCCCATGAATTAAAATCGGGTTAGAATATTGATAAGATTACCTTTGTATGGTAAGTTTCTAAGATATCTGCAATATTTTCTTTTGAAGGAGATTTCAGAGCTAACAAATCTTCTTCTAACATGACCAACTAAAAGTAAAAAAAAGAAAAAAGAAAATAAGGAAAACAGATTTGAAACCCCATAGAAGCACAAACATAATTTTTTAGAAATCTTATACTCTTTTTAAAAATCCTTGTCTTAAAATGATGATGCTCTCTTCGGCTGAGTCAGTGAAGGAAATTTTCACTGAAGCTGTGCATACACATTCCCACACAGAGAATGTTGCCTTGCAAGGAATGGATAAAAGTGGGAGAAACTAAAGAGAAATAGAGACATCTCTGTTTCCAATTGGCTATCAAGCACTTGAAATGTGGTACTGCGACCAAAGATGTGAATTATAAATTTTAATTAATTTAAACCAAAATTGCCATATGTGATTAATGGCTATTATAGTCAATGCACAGCTAGCTCTAAAATATAGATATGCTTCACTCTCCACTTACACCCCTCACATATCTATCCTATGTTTAGCTAAATGGGACTTTTTATTGTTTTCAAAACATAACTAATGCTTTCTGGCCCCTAGGGGCTTGCTCATTAAATGTTTCCTCTATCCAGAATGCTTTTCCCGACAATATTCATCTTAAAACCCAGCTGAACTGCAACTCCATGAGAAAACTTCCAGTCCTTTCTTATAAGAAAGACCTTCTCCCTTTCAATCCATTGAGTACTTGCTTTGTATTGTTTTTGCACCTACATGCTTTACTGTCAGATGAGATAGTTATTTATCTTTTGTACCCATCTCTATCTAGCCCCATCCCCAATGTATATTACTCATTTCTGTTATCCTCTATAGGCCCTGTGAATGGCAATCTGCACACAGCAGATATGACTGGGCAAGCTAATAAAGAAAGGAGAAGATTGTGAATCAGCTTTCTCTCCCATCTTTAACTAAATTCCACTATCGTCAAGAGTGTCCTCTACCCAGAGTAGATAATGGAGTGATCATGTGTGTTTCTTGTTACAGCTCAAGGGGAGAATGAGACAGCCACCTACTCAAGGTACCTGAGGATGGCCTAACATAGAAAACCATCTGAAACTTCAAGCAAATGTGACGGAAAGCCCCCAACAGTATACAGGGATAGCCTTCAACTTTGTATTCTTCATACATTTTTTTAAATTTTTAAAAAATTTATTTTAATTAGTTTCAAGTATACAGTACATTGGTTAGACATCTATATAGGTCGTAAAATGGTCCCCCATCCCAATTGCTCCCTCCCTCCCCTCACCCTCCACCTAGCCAACGTATTCATTCTAATTGCATTCCCTATGCCGTGCTCCCTATTCCCGTGTCCATTCATCAGCTACTAATTTGTACTTCTTTAACCCTTCACCCCATTCTCCCAGCCCCCCAAACTCCCCTCCCCTCTGTCCATCACCAAATTGTCCGCTATATTTGTGAGTCTGTTTTTGATTAGTTTGTTCTTTTTATACCTTAGATTCTGCATATAAGTGAAATCACATAGTGTTTATCTTTCTCTGTCTGACTTAAATACCTTCTAGGTCCATCAGAGCAATACGTTTTTCCATCCCCTTCCTTTTAGTCTGTCTTTTAATCCGAAGTGAATCTCTTAAAGGCACATGTAGGGGTCTTGTTTTCCTTTACATTCATTCACTCTTTTAGTTGGAGCCCTTAATTCTTTTCCATTTGAGATACTTATTGATAGGAATGTAGTTGTTACCATTCTTTATTCCTGTGTTTGATACATGTTTTTTCTTCTTAAAGAGTCCCTCCAACATTTCCTGTAATACGGGCTTGGTGGTGATAAATTCCTTCAGCTTATTTTTGTCTGGAAAGCTCTTTATCTGCCCTTCAACTCTAAATGATAGCTTTGCTGGATAAATTATTCTTGTAGATCCTGGGTCTTCATCCTGTTGAATATTTTTTCCCAAGTCCTTCTGTCCTGCATAGTTTCTTTTGAGAAATCAGCTGCCAGTCTTATGGGTTTTCCGTCATAAGTAACTGTTTTTCTCTTGCTGCTTTTAATATTTTCTTTGTATTTAACCTTTGGTGTTTTAATTATGATGTGTCCTAGTGTGGGCCTCTTTGGATCCCTGATTTTTGGTATTCTCTGAGCTTCCAGGGGTTTTATGACCACTTCCTTCACCAGGTCAGGGAAGTTTTCCATCATTATTTCTTCAACAGCTGTTCAACATATTTTGATTTTCTTTAGTTACATTGATCAGACAAACATTTGGACCCTTAACAGTGTCCCATATGCTCCTTAAATTATTTTTATAGTCTTGGCATCTTATCTCTTGCCATTCTGATTGAGTGTCCTTGGCTTTCCTATCCTTTTGATAAGGTATTTGATACTTTTCTTTATTCACTCTGTTTATTCCTTTCTTTATTCCATTTAATATACTTCTCATCTCAAATAATGTGTTCTTCATTTCAGACTGGTTCCCTTTTATATTTTCCATTTTCACTTTTATGTTTTTTATCTCTCTGTTGAAGTTCTCACTGAATTTAACCCAAATTTCATTGAGCATCTTTATACCAGTGTTTTGAACTCTGCATCTGTTAGATTACTTGACTCCATTATATCTGGATCTCTGTTCTGTTTTCTCATATGGTTTCTGTTTCTTTGTCTTCCTATTTTGGCTGCCTTTCTGTGTCTGTTTCTATGTACTAGGCAAAGCTCCTAAGTCTCCTGGTCTTATTAGTATGGATTTGTGAAGTAGGTGTCCAGTGGCACAGTCCTGAGAGGGGCTCAGCTACAGGCCGAATTTAGCTAAAGCCTCTGCCCCTCTAGGGCCACCTGAATTCAGCAAGCAATCCACAGATGCTGTGCTTATATTTGCCTCAAAAGGCCACACCATAAAACGAGGCCAGCTGCCTCCAGTGTGTGTCTAGGCACTGCTCAGCAAGGAGCACCTGACTCGCCGAGGATACACCTGGATGTGGCTTGGGTGAGGCCGTGAGCTGGGGGAGATGGGGTTTCAGGGAATCCTCTGGGCAGAGCAGCTTCTGTTATTCAGTCTGATGACCTCACAGCAATGGAGGCGCTCTGTCTGTGCACTGGGAGCAGGGAGGGCTCAACACGGAACAATGGATACCACCGGCACTTCAGTACAGAGCGAGTCTTGCCTCGGCCCTCATTTCGACAATGTCTTCTTGTAAGTCCCTGGTGCCCCCTGTGCTCAGCCGAATGGGCACTGATGCTGACCGCGAGCAGATCAGCGCGAAATTCTGCTTGCGGACGCAGCCCTTTAAGAGGCATCAGCCGCTGCCACTGCCGCAGCCTACGTCTCACTCAGGGGTTCGGAACCCGGCAGCCCCACGTCCTCACCCCATCCTACCTTTTGCCGTTGCACGGTGCTTTCTTGGATTTCTTCCTAGTTGTATGGCTTATTCATCAAGATAAGATTCCAGGTGATTTTTCCTTGCTGCTGCTCCTTGTTTCCGTCACAACTTTGATTTGGTTGCCAGAGGGATGAACAGAGCCTCTATCATCTACACCATTTTGGTTGCACCACCTGTTTACTTCATACGTTTTTATACCATTCCTTCCCTTAATCCAAAACTCCTCTCCTTCAAGATCATATATTCATTTGAAGATCTATGTGCTTTCTGGGAAACTCACTTAATCTCACAATTCTAGGGACAAAGCACATTAGTTAAGCTAAGCTATTTGCTCTAGTTCACCCACCCACATGGTTCACGGGTGATATAAACCAGTCCAATCCGAGTAAACTAAGCCAGTTGAAGCAGAATAAATCTCAGATTTCTTGCTGGGAATTCTGAAGCAAAATCACCTTGAACTGGTTTTTCTATTACATTTAACACAAGTAGTTTCAACTAGTCTGGAGACAGGAAAATGGGGAGCTAAAAAGGCTAAATGCAAGCTAGGATTTAAACCCAGGCTGGCTGTCCACATATACTTTGCCACTATCCTAAGAAAATTGGCAAAACTGTTTTAAGAAAAGACAAAGTAACATTGTCACTTGCAACAGATATCCTTTAGCAAAGCTTTTAAGACCATATTTAACAAATGTAACTTTTAAATGCATCAGAGAAACTAACAAGAGAAACTTTCAAAATGTTTTTATAAAATAAGATTCTTTTTATATATAACTTTAGATTTTATATATTTGACTTTCTGAAAGTAGATTTTTTTTACAGAATGTAATTATTCATTAAAAAGTATATTCACTGAAGGTGCTAGGCAAAACAGCTCTGACTCTACATAATTATCTCTGCTTCGTGTATAAGGAAACTGAAGATTACAGGATTTAGGAACTTTTCCGAAAGTCACAGAGCTGTAAGCAGTAAGATCTAGGATTCAAATCCTTATTTACCAAAAGCCTGTGATCTCAACCGCTCATATTACCTCTCCTGTAATGTTATCCCAATAGAAGTTGCAATCATCCAAGTAATTAAACTGCAATCATACAATTACCTTTTCAGAATCTA